TAATGTAATGTTAATCTGGAAAAATTTGATTCGTATTCGAATTAAAGAGATTCGATTCGATTGGATTCGAAGTAAAAATTTCAGATTCGATTCGATTCGACCATGCAAATGCTTGATTCGCACACCTCTAAACTACATGTATATCTTTTTTTTTCTAAACACAGATCACATATAAGGATTTCCAGTTGAATATTATTATATTAGTAACTCCCGTTGCATATTTTCCGACAAAACTTTTTCTAGAAAAATAATTACAAAATCAAATTGTCAAAATTCTAATCGCTAAATTGCTAAATTAAAAAGTAAATGTTTTAAACAGAGAGAAATTCTCAAGGATATTAATGACTCGAAATTCTCGTCGCATCTCGCAAATTTATGTGTGTAGTTCTAGGTTTAAGAGGCTGGCACACAGATATTTTCATAAAGAAGAAATATTGCTCGAACTTAAAAAGCAACCGGCGGACTGTCAAACGTGACGATAGCGCAGTTCAAAAAGGCAGCAACTTAAAATTCGATAGCGAATAGATATCCCATTTCTCAAATTGCTCACCCTTTAATTACTCATTTATATGCACTCTGCTTACGACATAATTAATTATTCCATTTGTATGTTATAAATGAAGCATTCGTAATATTTGTCGCTATTAAATATTACACGAAGATTGGATCCTTTTTAATTTATAAGATAGAAACATATCTTGAGTTGCTGCTTTCTCGGATTGTGTCGTTGAAAACAATCATTTCCACAAGACAGAAAAAATATTTGTAATCTTGACTTTATTAAAATCGACGTAAATGTCTATAATATTAATACTCACAATCACAATCTCTCAATCAAAAGACTAAAATAAAAGTAAGAATAAAAGTTATCGATACATCAAAAAGTAGAAACGTGGTATATATATAGTTTGAACTAGTAATTTTTATATCTAATCGCAAGTGAGTAAGAAAGGAGACGGTGTAATCCAAGTGCGTTATTACGATTTTTAATCCATCGGCGAGGTCATCAATTTGTTATTGTAGCTACTAATACTGAGATATCGGCGTCGATCAATTCTCGACGGTGCGGAATCTTTGGGGACGCACGAAAATATTTGCGTAATATCTCGTTTCGTCGCAGCAAGCCGGTAACAATGTAAAAAAAATCAACAACTAACAGTAATCTCAGAATATACCTACGATTTACTATACACTAAACAAGACTGCAAGTACAAGCCAAAATTTAGATACGCTATGGAAGAAATAGACTTGATTACAGTACAATTCGCTCAAAAATTTAGGCGCAGTCTTTCATGAAACATTCTACGCAGAATCTAGATACAGTTATTTTCAAAAGAGATTTATTCTTTCGTTCCGCAGCGAGAAAACGCAGAGAGTATTCGTATGTAACTCGCTACATCGCCGTATAATGTATTATGTATATTCAATATGCGACATGTACTGCAATATGCCCCTGTTCCTAATCTTTTAAACGTTTGTACCGAATAAAGCTCGGACATTTGTAATACATTCTATAAGTTTCAAAACTGCTTAGAAAGTGCTTAAAATGGATCTACACAGAAAGTTTCTGCGAGCGACACGATCGTGACTTTAAAAAATGTCGTTTAAAAAATCCAATAACAAATAACAATGATTATAAAATAGTATTAAAGTAACGATAAAAATTCACCATCGTGTCGCGTGCATCCTTTGTTAATTTTTCCTCGAAACTTCGTCAACTCAGACGCACCTATTAGAGCTGGATTTAACCGGGCTGGAACGTTTTAATCGCTTCACGGTCCGCGTACGCGCGGTCGAACAGTTACATTTGATCTACATGCAATTGTAAATTAATAAAAGAAACAAGCCGCGCGTTAATATCCTCGCCTCTAATCGCCAGCATGTTGCGTTGAGGAACTTTTGGAAGCGAGAGTGTTCCACTCGTGTGTGAAAACTTCGCTATCACTCGGTCGACACGCGAACCACCACGCGATATCTTTAGCTGCCCAATCGCGTCGGCTGCGGCAGCCCGCAAATGGCATTGTGAACGGGCATGGACAGCCATCCGGCCAACGCGATGCCGATTGAATCCGCCATCGACGCAATTCCCAGAGAAGCCTCGCGATCCGCCTTCGGAATCTGCAAAAGATTTCACGTCAGATTAGTTTTAAGCCAGAAAGTATTCGAGGTGTGTGCGAATCAAGCATTTGCATGGTCGAATCGAATCGAATCGAATCTCTTTAATTCGAATCGAATCTGAATCAAATTTTCCCAGATTAACATTGCATGTTAATTTAAACGTAATAAAGAATAAATCAAAATTTATGATTTACGTTATTTTACGCAATGATTCAAACAAACTAAAGACCTGTTTTCAATTTACATCTCATTACAAAGGATCTTATTTGACATTTTGAACTATAAAATATTAATAATATGTGTATACACGAATAGCTTTCGAATATTTTATTAAACTATATAAATACATTACATATATCATATATCAAAAATACTTATTTATTAGATAAGAATAATTGGTCGCGCGCGGGAGATATAAATGAACAAAATAAAATAGGCGATCGACTCGAAATCGTACCATTGTCGATTCAAAATTCTCAAACTATTCGATTTTGAATCTTGCAGATTCGAAAACAAACTCGATTGAATCTATAACTGTGATTCGATTCGACTTGATTCAAATTCGAACTATTCGCACACCTCTAGAAAGTATCTTCAGACAACGCGGCAAAATATTCGATCGTCACTTCTGCGTTAAATTGCAGAGAATTCAATGCGTTCTTTCGTATTGTTTGAACTGCACAGTTCATTTCTAATTTTTAATGTGCTCCTTAAGTGAAGAAATAGCATCGTTAATATCGTTACCTCGGACGACATCCGATAGAACGTGTTCACGTACGCCGCGCCGCCAAGCAGTCCTTCCCACAGTCCAAGGGCAAAAACAATCCAGATGTTCGGTATGTAATAGTAGAGGGTGTCGAAGAGAAGGATTATCACGTTAACGAACTGAAAAAAATCAATCAATTTAAACACAATGAATTCTCGTACTTTTTTTGTTCGATTTCTCGGTTTCGGAACGTTCCATTTGTTACCTGCAACACGGCCATGATCCAGATCTTGTCGATGGTGACCAGGTTCACCGACGATCTCGAGATAAATACACCTATTTGGTAATCCACTTGGAGCCATCTGTATTGCTCGGGGTGTGTCAGCCAGATGTCTTTGAATTCGATAAGCTCGTACTACGAACAAAGTTTCGGTTGCTCAGTTAAAATGGCATGTGAAATTAATAAGCCAGATAATGATTCGCAATCGATGAAGCTAGCACAGACGTTGCCTGACGATGAAATTCCTGCATATATTTCCCTCTTAAAAGATCAAAACGGGAATTTATCGATCCGATCTAATAAATGCATAAATGCGAACGTGGCAATTAAAATCATATATAATCACATGATTACATAAAGCCGCATGAGCAAAATGGGAGAAATATTAAAAACAGGAATAAATATAAGGATTTCAATCTATCCAAGGTTGGAAAGTAACTCGTTACTTGTAAGTATAGTTACAGTTACTTTTTTCAATAACTGTAACTTAACTTCGTTACTTTCTTTCCATGTGTAACTGTACCTTAACTTAGTTAGATTTTTTAAGTAACTAGTAACTAATTTACTAATAGTTACTTTTAAAGTTACTTTATATATATATATATATATATATATATATATATATATATTGTATATCAGAATCGTCACTTTCATGGATAAAAATTATGCAACATTTCATTCAATCATCTAATCGTAATTATGCGAAATATTTAAATGCTCGCATATTTAAATACGCGCATTACTTTTTTTTTAATAAAATTATATATGTAAATGTAAATCTTTTTTTATCATGCTAATATTGTTCTATTAAAAGTAACTGAAAAGTAACTTTTCGGAGTCGGTAACTTGTAACGGTAACTAGTTATTTTTTGAGAGACAAAAACTGTAACTGTAACTAGTTACTTTTACAAAGTAACTTTCCCAACCCTGAATCTATCAGACTGTGAAATACACGGTTTCTAATTGAAATTCTTACATGGAAAGAACGATTTTGTTGAAAGGTCTTAAAATTTTGCTAAATACAGATTTGAAAATAATTTTTTGTTAAATCATTAAAATAATTTGTTGGAATGTTAAAACTGATAAGCATTGCTATAAAACGTTTTGATATTCTAGCAATCATTTTGACTTTTGTACAAAATTATTTTGATTATTAAACAAAAATTATTTTCAGATCTGGATTCAGCAAAATTGTTCTTTCCGTGTATAATTATTTCTATTCCCAATATTTCTTCCATTATATGCTCACAGACTAACAGAACGAGAAAGACAATTGTTATCAATATACGATATACGAGTAGATTACAGATTACGTGTGTAGCGAAGAGATATATAAGAGATATAGGGGATTATAGGGGAATATTGTCGTTACCAGTCCCTGATTGATGAAGTACTCGAATAGATAGACCAGCCCGAGCGGTATCATGTACTTCAGCAAACTGGGCACCAAGCCGATCTTCTCCCTGAAGCTCTTCTTGGGGACCTTGATGATCTGCTCTTGGCTGTCGATGCCGTTCTTAGTGATCGGGATCTTGGTGTGCGCCGGGTGCGCGAGGATAAGCCAGAATGTGATTGCCTGCAGAAGCGGCACGGCTAGCATGGCCAGCAGCGTGTGCTCGATGCTCAGCACGGTGGTGAGCCCGGCGTAAGACACGGCGCCGATCACCCCGGCGCCGCCCGTGCCCGACGACCATGTCGAGATCACTTGCCTGCGAGCGAATTAAAATAGGCATTAACGATAAGAGAATGCCGAGGTCATCAAGCGATCAAGCAGTTGAGATGCCGATAAAATCAAGGCTGAATAAATTACGAAGTGTGATAGAAATTAGAATTGATGTGCAAGCTTAATTATCGTACAATTTTAGCGTTTGCGAATTTATCTGCAGACGTTATAAAAATCTAACGAGCGGTTGTCTAACGAGTGTTTGTATTACGCGACTCCTTCCGCTTCCGCGATTTGTCTCGAATGACAATATAACAGTGCTCGGACAATAGACACATAATTTATGGCGCGGGGTCCTCTTACGTTTTGCCGTCGTAATTGTTATTCTGCAGTTACCCGCAACGTGATTATAAACGTATCTAGGTATTACATCTATGAGCTAGCTTTGCACGCATCCTTTTATCTTACTTTTCTGCATGTGAAATCGCGCGCGTATTTATTACGTTTTTTTTTTTCGCACACACACTTTCAGAGACCTCGCCGACGTTTGCATTATCTTATCGCTACTACTCTCCTCACAACTGTCTAAATGTCAATACTACAATTTGGTGTATACACTGGAAATATACCCGCTGCCGCAGCAATAGATGATAAACACAGGCTCTCGATTGCGCCACCTCGTTTGGCAGAACGTTGAGCCGAGAGCCCGAAATGCCCTTCGATAGTCTACCCGACATTTTAATACACGCTCAAAGTCTAAATTCTATACGCCTCTTCCGCCCCTTTTCGTTCCTCCTGCTATTTTCAAAGCGCTGAAGCAGAAAGTTATAACGTTCCAAAAAAAAAAGGAAACTCTCTTATCTTAATTTTATACGTGCATCTATATGAATATAAATTACACTTTTAATATACAATTAAATTAATATGATATATATAAGAATATTATGTAACAGAAGCCGTGTTGAATCGATCTGTAATGTATGTGTCGGAATTAAGTTATAAAAAATAAATTTCAACCAATTAAGAACGGAAAACGCCAACACGGTCAAAGCGAATCTTGGTGCTTCCATAATATTCTAAAGTGTGAATCTTACAACTATTTTGGTTCAAATAAACCGCGCGCGGCATATCGCAGAACTTTCAACGCAGTTCTAAATCGAATAATACGCAACATCACAATTAAATTGCCAATTCTGTAACGGCAATCTAATAAATCGATGTTCGTATAATGTACCTTTTAAATTTTGTGAAAAATAACTTATTAATATTACGTACTATTCGGTTTAGAGCTGCGTTGAAAGTCCTGCGATATGCGACGCGTGGTTTATTTGAACCAAAAAAAAATCGTAAGATTTACACTTTAAGATATATAGAAGCATTAAATCCGCTTTGATCGTGTTGGCGTTTTCCGTTCTTAATTGTTTGTAACATTCCTCGGTCTATCCTGATTCTTAAGGGGTTTTACCACTCCTGAGGCCTTAAAATGATACCTAAGTTTAGGATTTTTTGTGGGTAAATAGATAACTTTATTTTAAAGCTGTTTAGAGGAGATTGTTGTACATATATAAGAAACTAAAAAAATATTTTTTTATTTTTTCTATGTACAAAATCGTGGCGCAATGGCCTACTTGCGAAATCCCTTTTTTCTGTTTTTTCAAATCGGTGTACAGAATTCCAGGCACACAGTTTGATCTTAAGTAAAACACAAAGAAATTTCATTATCTACATATTAAAGACTATAGAAGTACGTAGGGATTTTTTAAAATATTGATTTTTCTCGAAATGACAGCTTTTTACGAAAAGTTCGTATTTTTGTCAATACAAGTCTTTCATAAAATAGCTGCCATTTCGAGAAAAATCAATATTTTGAAAAATCCCTATATACTTCTCTAGTCTTTAATATGTAGATAAAGAAAATTCTTTATGTTTTGTTCAAAGCTAAACCGTGTGCCTGGAATCCTGTACACCGATAAAAAAAAAGAATTTCGCAAGTGTAGGTCAGTGCGCCGCCATTTTGAACATAAGAAAAATAAAAAAATATTTCTTATATATGTACAATAATGTCCTCTAAGCAGATTTTAAATAAAGTTTATCCATTTACCCACAAAAAAAATCCCAAACTTAAGGTATCATTTTAAACCTCAGGGGTGATGAGACCTTTTAATTAAATTTCAGTTTCCGGTGTGTGTAAACGAGCGAGAACGGATGTTATGTCTGTAATATGACACGAGGGTAACAAACGGAGGGATGTATTACACTTACTTGGAAAACTGGTTACTGTAACTCAGTATGGTAACCTCACCCAAGCCGGAGGAGAGCGACGTTATGACGACGCCCATAATGGCGAGCCATTCGGTTGTGCTCAACGACACCATGAGGAATCCTGCAGCGGAAAATAACACACAGGTAGCCAGTCGAGCACTGTAATTAATGGAGTCGATTGATCGATTAGCGTTTGGACGGTTGGACCCGGTCGCTTGCACAACCGCGAAGAGGACTTACACGATATCCGAGGCTCCGCCGTGCGCCGGATGAGCGAGGTTTTTTTAAAAAAAAAAAAGAGGAAATTTATCGAGAAAGAGAGAAAGAGACAGTGAGGAGCAGAAACATTCGGATTGCACGCTAGATTTCATACTCGATTAATTTTTCTTGTGTTTAGCGCACTTTGGACGAATCTCGAATTTTTCTCTTCTAAAGAATATGTAAGGTGTCTTACAAAAGAAATTTGTTATCAGTCTAATTATAAATTATCAGTCTAATTATAAATTATCAGTCTAATTATAACCAGATAATAATCTTGAACAATTGTTTTACATGGTAAAAATTTATTAGAATTAGATACTGACGTTACAAATTTGACATTACATGTCATAATACGCGGAGAATAAAGAGATTTAGACTAAAATTCAAGATAAGAGAAAAGGAGCTAATTTAGATTAATTAAACACTCTGCCAATTAAGTTAAAATCATTTTATCAATCAAGTTATTATCGCCGTTTTTAATAATCGTTGATATTTGTCTTTTAAGATACGCTAATATAATTGAGAGTGCATACGTCATTATCAAGAGCGTCGTCCAATCATCGCGATGTTAAGTTAATCTTGGCGCTTTACTTTTATTGTGCCGTCACCTTGCCAATTACGATATTACCGTATGTATGGAGCATCCAAGCGTGGAATCTGCAGGTGTCTAGATAAGACATTTTAATCTTACAGGAAAAATGCTCGAACGTAAATTGCAATAGATTGTGCAATGCGAGAAAAATCGCGCGAGACTTGGAAGACAATACGAACGTATCGCAAAAAAAAGAAACAAAAAAAATAAAGTCACACTTTACTTCTTTTTTTTTTACGCATTTAGTTCTATTGTCATTCCAATTAATTAACGAAAGTAAAATGCGAGAATCTCGCGGGAGATATTCGTTTTGCAGTGCTCACTGGCTTCATTCCAACAAATAATCGCGAGATAACGCTAAGATGCACAAGAATGCAACTTTGTAGCGTCACACATATAAAGAAGAAAGGAAGAAATAAAGATAGATACTCACTGCACTAGAAACGGTAAGAACGGCGCCGTGATCTTGATTGCCAGTGCTGGCAGAATGTCTGCCAAAAGTATGGCGCCGGTCGAAACCGTGGTACACGTGCGAATTCCCGTGTTGTTTGTGTTGGTCGTGGCATTTGTGCTCGGCAGAGCATCCTAGAATTAGGATCGGAAAAACGCTTGCAAATTCAATTGAGATTGTAGTATTCATTTAAATTAAAAAGAAAAATTAAAGAAAGCATTTCGAACAATTAAAAAATTAAAACGAAGTATTTCCAAAAAAAAGAGGAGAGATTTTCCACAAGGAATTTAATTTGAATATTTTTCTCGTAAAGATTTTTGGCGATACATTAAAAATCTCGTTTTGCAATTTTTATTTTCTTTACATTAAGATCGCTCCAGAGTATAAAAAAATTATTTTTGTCTTATATAAATGATATAGGTGAAAACGTTAAAAATAATACTAAAATATGATAGAGCTCGCAAATTTCAATATAAGAAAATAAGAAGCGGCGAATACGAGTCGTGTGTAATTCGCGCAAAAAGTCAAAATTATTATTTTTAATATAAGAAAGAAAGAAGCGGCGAATACGAGGTGTGCAATAAAATTACAAATATAATATATTTTTAAAAATACAATTTAATTATTTGATCCGACAATACATTTGTAATTTTATTGCGCACCAATTTTCGCACTGACTCGCGTATTCACCGCTTCTTTCTTTCTTATATTATAAATAATAATTTTGACTTTTTGCACGAATATGACGTTTCGCATGATGAATTAATTCTCGTTGCTCCTTTCTGACTTACGTAACATATTGAGCGCATAATTACGGCGCATTGAAAGAACGCTGATTGCACAATATGGCAAATCACGTGCTGCTTTATCAATTCGTTTTTTCTCGCTCGGGAATCCGACCGGACGACATAAATTATTAAAGTACGACGACGTTTTCCTCGTTTAAAAGCGAAGGCAAATCATTACGCTATTCGAAACGGCTCATTAGGCATTATCTCTAGCGCGGATCACGTTCATCAATTTATTGCTAAACCACTGCGCCGTAGATCTGAATGATTGATTCAATTAGAACGCGCAATCTGCATCATAATGCCGGTCTAAGAATATCGTTTTATGAAAAAATTTTCCATGGAGCTATCACGAGTATCTAATTACTTATCAGACTGGTATATCGTGTATCGACAAGAATTTAATCGATACGCAAGTGGCTGGATCACGCTATTAACCCAGACCGCTATACGAAGCTGTAAATATCACCAATTTGACATGTTGATCCATGCAAAATGTCAATTGCAAAAGACTGACTCAAGAGGACGGAGAAGAAGATATCGATTATCTATTAATTGTGCCAATTCAGTTGCGATTACTTTGCGCGAATGTTCGAAATCTTCTTCTACAATATAAAAATAATAAATATGCTGTAACACTTTATTCTCTGTTTTATTGATAAATTAATTGTAAATTATTAATCATCACTTAATTATAAATTGTTACAATTAATTAATAGATATAACAGATAAATTTGCTGTTTCAGTAAATCAGTTGGAAATCACAGACTTCTTAACAAACGCTTCACACATTCTTTGTTTGCAAAGTTACATTTTCAAATCTAGATTGGTATAAGCCTTGTGTGTGTGTGTGTGTGTGTGTGCGTGCGTGTGCGTGTGTGTACCTATCGATAAAATATCTTTCGTGAGCTTTGCTGACGCACTATCGGATACCGCGTTTCTCGCGTTATTGGACTAATTTCTGAACTGAAGGATAAGAGATAATTTTCAAGAAAAGAAGATATCTTTACATCCGATAAAAAATTTAATCAATTAGGTAAAGATTAAATGAATTACTTTAATTTAATTATTCACTTTTATTAATTATTTACTTTATAGAAAATTTTTAAGCTATAAATAAAGACGCGCGCGAAAATATTTCCAAGATTGAGAAGAAAAGATGCGTAAAGTTAAAAGATCTCTAAGTATACGTGTCGCAAATAATCATTGTGCTAGCCTTTTGTGAGTGAAGCAAAGTAGTTCACGCTGTTGAGATCAACTTGACACTCGTCGTCAGTTACACTTTGTTATCTGGAGTATGCGACAATACAGTGAGTTTATCTGTGAGATATTGCTATCTTTGTCTCGCCTGAACTTCAATAATAAATCTCAAATATTTCTTGTAAAGGTTAAAGATTATCCGAATACATTTTCAAAATTAAGTAATCTATGATGTCTCAATCTAATTATATATTTCGAAATATTTTTGCACATGAAAAAGTTCGCACTTTTTTATGTGCAAATCTTAAAAAAATAATCATAATAATTATGTTCAAAAAATAATTATAATTATAAATTAAGATGATTATTTTTCTGTTTTAAATACTGCGCGAAAAATTAAATTTTATGAAGCTACTTAAATCGCGTCTTAATATACTAAAATTATCACGATTTCTTTAAAATTATTAGTTTCTAATTTCAGAATATAATTCGAGATAATACAATTTTAAATTCGTCATCCCCGAGTTCTGTGCCGGATTTAAAGGGAAACCTCCAGTTTTCCTCTCGCGATGAGTTGATCGAGAATCACCGCAGTGCTTACTCACCTTATCACCGAACTTGGACTGAAGGATGTCGTGGGCCGCGCTGAGCATCACGACGTAGCCGTAATTGTTGCACAGGCCCAGGATCCAGAAGGCCAGGAGATTGCGCCATCGTGACTTCTTCAAAATAGCCTCCTCGTCAAAAACATTCTCGACCGCACGCGAGTTCGTTAGACTACTCTTACCCATCCCGGGGTGTACGAATTTCGAAAAGGATAGGGTGTATCTTCTTGTTTCTGATCCTACTCCGTTTTCTTCTCTTCGTCTCTCTCTCTCTCTCTCTCTCTCTTTCTCCCTCTTTTTTTTCTTGTCTGTCTATCGTTCCGTTTCCTTTCCTTTGTCTATCTTGAAACGCTCTCCTGCTTCGGCAAACGGTCTCTCGGTCTCTTCCTTTATGCCTCCTTTGAAACACGTGCACGCTGCGCCGGCTAAATCGGTTTGCTATACTTGAACCGTAGATTCGTTTTTCTCTCTCTCTCCCTTTTCCTCTATTGGTCTCCGTCTATATCTCTGTCTCTTCCTCTCTCACCGACTTTCCCTTTTCCACTCTCCGTCGCTTCGCTTACTCTAACGCCGTCGCGAATACCGTCTCGTCCTCGGCTTCTCCCGGCCGAGCGGCTCCGACTTAATAGCTGCTTCTCCTTTTAGAACGGATTTAACTGTTCGGGCTTCGTGTTGAAGGGACAACCGCAGGATATATCACGGGGATAATTCGTGCGTTCACAGCAATAACGTCGTTTGTCTCACGTTTATAATTATAGTGTGATTGACACCGAGTTGTCTTACTAATAATAAATTATTCGCACAAAACAGAGCTTCGAGTTCAACGTACGTTGTGCTTCGCAAAAAAGAGATTATTCCACGCTCTAATTAAAAATACGATGACTATATATTGCTTCTAGCCTGCAAGTTTCTTTTACTGACCTTTGACAATAATCAGCTTGAATCACAGTGATTTAGATTGTACTAGCTGGTGAGAGATCACACATAAAATGGAGCAGTTTCCTCGTTTCCTCCGTAATCGAGAGAATATCTTCTTCGCGATGAAGAAAAGCACCTGCTATTGCCTTGATCCCGCAACGCGATCTCCGATGGCCTTCCGCTAGTCACCAGTGGATTAATGAAAATACCGCACACACGACTACTAATAATGAATCATTCACAGAACGCGGGACACCAAGTTCAACGGACTTTCTTTGTAAACAAAGAGGATATTAATATTCTATTTGAAAGTAAATATATTCGATCGGTATCTGGAGTTCGTCGACAATCGCCGTGGCGATATACTCACTTATCGATATTCAATCGACGGCGTGTGAAATGCAACTTTCTCACAAGTCGCGTTTTTCCTTCGATGCCACGCGACCGCACCATTTAAATCCGTTGCCATATAAGCGGACGCGCTGGATATATTTTTCCCAAGAATGCGACTGACTCGCTTATAGTCGGCAGTTCTCACCTTCGGTTCCCTTCGCTCCGTCCACGGTACGTGCACACACAAGCTTCGAGAAGCTTCTCCAATCTTTCTTTCGATCAGGCTCCCTCGATCGCACACATACACGTTACGATAAACTGCAGTTCACGAACGCATGACTTCTTTCAGAATGTACTTTCGGGACTTGCTAGATCGCCTTGCTGTCGTCAGCGAATTTCGAAAAATCGCGTTCCTCGCAACCACCTTAAATCCGTTGGATAGACGGAGCTTATCTATTTCGCGCGACTTTGGAGTCGCGCGACCAGCTTGAAAACTTGAGGGACAAACGATTGGAGAGATCAAGATCGCCGACTAATCTCTGTAGTGCTCTCTCCTCTCGAACGAGTATAGGTTTTTACGTAGATCGAGCAGATCCCTGGACAAGTCCAGCGGTGCAGACTGTGAGGTCAATGAGAAAGACAAGCGTGAGCGAGATAATTACAATTGCAGATTGAACGATAAATTGTTAATGAGCTGGCAAGCATTTAAAAAAATACGCGTTGTTAGCTCTGTTTTGTGTTAATGTTTTAAAACAGCATGTGCACGTTTTCAAGACGAATTATAGATATTTTAAAAAATGCGGACATAAATATTAATATATTAATATTTATGTCCGTTTTACATTTAAAAAAAAGTATTTATGTAATAAAAAAATAGTTTACATATGCATTATGTCGTATAAATATACTGTCCTTAATGTATTTTTATATTTAGATCTCCTACTCAAATTCTTGCATACAAAACTCTCACCGCATTCAACGATCACCTTTATATATAGGCATAATACTGCATGACGGCTATCACTTAAGTGACATTAAACTGCATTTTCTGTGCCTCTATTCAAGGATAGCGTTATCGCGCGATTTCGCACTGACGGGTACTAGAAAACGTACTTATTTCATTCACGGAATTTGCATTTAATTTCGCGCTATTTCATTTCCCTACAACATTCGGACGAGCACGAATAACTTAGCGTGCAATTGACGAAATACATGCGTGCATTTTATGAAGACGAATCTCGGAGAATTTCGTATTTCGAAATATTGTACCATTTTTTTGCGAGTTGAAATTTGTAAAATTATATATATATATTTTTTTTATTTATTTTTTATTTTATTTTAAGTAATGCTTTTGTCTGTTTTATGAAGCGACTTTTGCATCGCGAAATGCGAACGTGAATTGAGGACGCTGACACGCGTATTGTTATGGAAATACGCATGTGCTATGCAGATAGCATTTTGAACATCGGAACGCTCAAAAAAAATTCCCGAAATGTCACTTTTCCAAAAATATTTTTTACGATAATCTTGCCGTTATTTCGTAAGCATATACGTGTTATGTGTAAGTGCACACATTTTTTCTAATAGAAACACAAATTGAACACTCAAAACTTAAAGAAGAATGTTCCATTTATTTTTATTTAGCAATACTTTTGCGTTGTAAATCCTTCCGCTATCTTATTCCATGTTCATTACCGCGCAGTACTCTCGTAACAGATAGCGCGACTTACGAAACGCGTTATCTACAAAAAGAAAAGAAGAAAAAACCAGCAAAATAGGCATTCCTGAATATAAATTTTATTTTCGCAGCCGATCGAGCCTATTGCGTCCGCTGAAAATCGGATGATATGATAAAACACGAGACAACGATTCTTGACATCATTCGCTTTCGTTTGCCACGCCGATTTAGTCTCGAATTTTTAAATCTTTTCTTTTCTTCGCGTTAAGTAATAAAAAAGTCAAGTGATACGATTTACGTACTCACTTCGTTATCTCACGCCTCTCGAGAGGTTATTGCATTTGCATTATGATTTCTTTTATCGTTTATCTACAGTCATACTCTCGTCGTCAGTTTTTTCTCGAAGTAAATCCACGTCCGGACGACTCCCCGCATCCCCGACGTCGGTTCACGCGTTTATATCACAACTCACGTCCGCTACGGATAACAACTCGCCGCACGGTCCGTGTCGACTGCTTTTTGACACACGACTGGCGTACGTTCTTTAAGCGTCGTCTACAACGAGACTTAAGATTTACGAAAATTGACCAATCATAATCAATTATTCTTCTGACGTGGATGAATAATCAACTATGATTGGTCAATTTTCATGGATCGGTAAAATAACTGATACAACTTATTTAAAGTAACAAATATAAAATAGATTCCAGAAACTTATTTAAAATAAAATATCGCAGGGGGGGGGGCAATAAAAATCTGATAAGACTTATTTAAAATGAAAAATATAAAATATATTTCAAAAATATATTTAAAATATTAAATAAGAAATAGATCAGAAGAAATTATTTAGAATAATAAATACTAAATAAAATTCCTTTTTTTTTCATTTAAAATGCATATTTTAAATAATTTTTTTCTTAAATACAACCGATCCCTGATAAGCAGAAGTCAGTAAAGTAACTGATATAACCTATTTAAAATAACAAATAAATACATATTAAATAAATTCCAGAAACAAGACTTATTTAAAATGTGAAAAATATAAAATAGATTCCAAAATCATATTTAAAATATTAAATATAAAATACAATAAATCAGAAGAACCTATATTTAAAATAATAAATACTAAATAACTCTTTTACTTTTTGTTATTTAAAATACATATTTTAAATAATGTTATTTTCAATACGACCGACCCCTGTCAATTTTCTTAAATCTTAAGTCTTAAGTCTCATTGTAGACGACGTTTTATACGTATCATACGTATATGTATACGTACGAGCCAGTTGTAACATACGTACTTGACCCACCTTCAACAATATTCAGCCGGTTATGCAGCGTAATCGCACCGGTAGATATTATACAGTATTGAGAGAGGAAGCGCGGTGAAGCGAATGAAACTCGGTCAAACGGAATCTCCCAAACCCCGAACAAGTTGCTTAAATAAGCGAGCTTATATATTATTCTTTAGCACTGAAACTTTCGATTGGTTCTGCACGATTGCTAACGCGATTCACGCAAAATTCCTCACTGCGCCGCACTATAAGTATCCGTTCAAGGGCCGTAAATGATTGTTTGAACAGATTTGTTTGCGTAAGCGGTTCTTTCTCGGTACATCGAACATATATTTCTACCACGGTGTTATCGCTTCAATTATTTAAAAACATCGCTTGCGATTAGACAAGCTGTGTAATTTTACAACTTCTCCTGATCGAACTTACACAGTATTGGTGTCATCGCGCCAGAACGACAATTTTCTGACAATTAAAAACCGAATAAAGAGTATAATCTATCCATTGTTATAATAATGTTTTATAACGTTACTACAACAAAATGTACATCAAACGATAATACATAATACGATAACATACATTTTCTTTAATGTCAAATTATATTACGACTGAGATAAAGACTTGCCTCCACACTTTACATAAATTAAATTGATTAAATTGATCCTAAATCGATTTGCGTGTCTCGTAATAGCTAGCATTACAAACCTAATAATACTCGTCTTTGCGAAACAAAGATTTATTGATCGACTATAGAAACGATCGCCGAGTCCGCGATGACGACTTAAATAAATTAGTCCAACCAGAATGCCATTTGTTTATGGCTGCGCTTTTATCGCTTCGCTCCCAAACCGTTCTGTTAAATTTAATAACAACTCGCGACCAAGGGCATTTGTGGCGATGTGACTCATATATATGCATTTGTCGATGCTATTGGTTTACTAAAAGAAATTTTTTCACAGAATAATATTGCATTGTTATATTTTGCAGATGTGGATTTCCAATGGCATTCAAAACTAAATATAATTTTAATATCTGTGCATATGTGAAGAAAGAATGACGTTTACTGTCTTTTGTTAATCTTTCAGCCCAATCTAAAGCTTTAGCTTACAATTAAATTACGCGTGACATAACTAAAATAATTAAACTTGACACTTTCTGTGCGGTGTAGTCAAAACTTTTAATATAAAAAACTTTTATTACATATCCAATATTCCACATCATATTTTTTATACGATATAAAAGAATTATGAAATAAAAAGAATTAGAAATTTATGAAACAAAAAATTAGGAATAAAAAATTAACTTTATGTATGTTATAGAGCTATATAGAATGCGTGATAGATATAGTAGAGTCTTCTTTTCTTAATACATACTTAAAGCGTCTAATTCTTTCGAATAATCGCATATGATACTTACTCAAAATTTGTCTGAAGAGTTCAGTTCGAGGGACAAGATCGAAGAGTCCCTTATATACAATAATTTTTATAATATCACAAGCACAATCACAGAGTATAAAACTAGCAGTGAAATCACAAAGACGGCAACGTACAATTCCGAATCGGCAATCACCGAAATCGCCTCGAAGTACCGAAATTCGGAGATTAACAGGATTACTGTCCAAAAAAACGCAAAATATTTACGAGAAAGTTCAGAAATAATTGAATCGCCAGTATCAAAGTTTGATAGCACGATCGATAGACCATTAAATAAGGACCGCGATCGGAATGCCGTTGTTGCCGCGACGACTTCTAGCTCCGGAATAAACGAATTCCAGGCGAAATCGGTACATATACCGTCGACATAAGCGCAACCACTCGGTAAAATCGACAACGGCATTTCGTTCTTGAACAGTTCCGAGTCGTTCGTGGCATAAACGGCCGTTCAGTTAGCTTCTGACCGCCGAGGTGGTCGGAACTGTTCGGTCAATGACGATAACTCAAGCGGAAAGAAAGAGAAAAAGAGAGAAAGAAATTTGTTGTACAAGAAAAAAATCATTTTAAAATATACATATCAAAGTAAACATGCGTTAAAATTTAATTAATGAAAAATATAATAAAAAAGTTAGGCAGTAATAGAAAAAAGAAAAAAAATTTGTTGTAGTCAAGAAAAATATCCTTTTAAAAGATAATAATGTACCAAAGTATATGCGTTAAAATTTAATTAATGAAATAATAATGAAAACGTTAGGCAGTAAAGAAAAAAGAAAAAAGAGAAAAAATTTGTTGTAGTCAAGAAAAATATCCTTTTAAAAGATAATAATGTGTACCAAAGTACATGCGTTAAAATTTAATTAATGAAAAAATAATGAAAAAGTTAAGCAGTAAAGGAAAAAGAGAAAAGATAAAAAGAATTTCATTGATTTCTGAGAAAATGCTTTTTGGCAAAAATAAAGAAATATAAATTAAATTAAATAAAAATTGCAATTAAAGAAACAAGAAGTAACAACATGCTATATATAAAAAAAATTGAAAAAAGATAAACATTTTCAATAAAACTACCAGAAATAAAATAGAAAATAGAATAGACATTATTGTGAATCTATAATATGATCGAATCATAAATTTAAGCTGTGTATTGTTGAAAACAAATACACAGTTTATAATTCAATAATTCATTTCTTTAAAAAAAGAATCTCGTTTCTTGCCTTCTGGTCTTCATTACTAAAAATATCATTTAATACATGTCGTGTATTCGATAAACGAAGGAGACAAAGATTGATGTCAATCAAACATCACTTCGAGGAATCGTGATAACGTGATAAAACTTCGATAAAAGCGTATCTGAATGACGTGCGGCTGCTAATAAATAACATTTTAATAAAAGATAAGGAATAAAGCCGTATATTCTTCTTGTGCCTACATTACGAAATTCGAAAGTTTACACTTCGACTATGAAAAACAGCGCGGAAGTACGTGTGCGGCGAAGTAAAAATTACAAATAATGGCTGGATTTACAACAATTCGCGGAATAATAATGTATTTCTAAATCAGTATATTAGTATGATCGAGGAATATCAACGTGGCATTGCAATATTTGCCGCTCAATGACACTTCCTGGAGGAAAAAAAGAGGGCCATGGTTCGCTGAAAACCTTCGGCGGCACGCGTGACATTACATGCATAATAATACTAGAATGAATTCAACTAATTAAATTCTGTAAGCATAGTGCAATCTCTTCGCTCCTTCGTTTGGCTCGCTATAAAAAAGGAGCTATATTGTACCGTTATCCGCTGATCGAGAAGATCGATAAATCGAAAGACATTTTTATGTAACTAGAGCGGAACTCTTTCTCGTATAATTACGCTTCTAAATTTTTTATTTAAGAAAAGGACCTTTCAAGAAAGAAACAATATAAGTACATAATCGTACGATGTGCTTCTGGCATCATCATGCGATAACCCCGTCATCTATTCTTTGCTGTGCAATGTGAGACCTCCAAAAATGATGAAATACTTGTTGAGTAATTCATTCTTGAAACGGACGTTTACGTGTCTATTAATTCGTTCGTACGTATTAATTAATGTCTTAAAATTTTGATTAATTTCTTTTTAATAATCTTTGATGTCCATGTGTACCTGATTATTTTAAATTTTAATTTGTATTCTAAATCAATCAGGACAAATACATTGTCAGAAATCGATAAAGGAGATATGAAATCAAGTAAATCTCGATTATATTTCAATTTGACTTATTGTTAATGCACGAAACCCGTATCTACGAGCACTTCCGATAAACTTAAGAAAATGGATAGATAATTAACGTGCGGGTGACAACGAATCAAGATAAAGATTTAATTAAAAAGTCTTCGCACTTGTTTTCGTGTTAATTCTTCGATATCGTGTACATTAAATATTAACGATTTATGAATACCGTAATACATCGATTAGAAATTAAACACGTTAAACACGGTGTTTGAATGTAAAGATTGATGTACAGTTGATAATTAAAATAAACTAATCGAATGCGGAAAAACCATTATAAATATTTAATGTTACGTGAAATATCATACGTATCGAAATCCGTTATATTGCAAGATTGGTATGATACAATTTATGTCTTCAATTACAAATACATAATGCAAATTTAATTTTTATTGCAAAATTACAGATAATAAAAATACAATAGTAAAGAATATAAAAGATATCTTATAAGCTGTCTTTATTTAAATAATAATTGCAACATGCACTCTAAAAACTAAAGTAATTTATTTAATGTTCATATATAAATTTATTCACTTTTTAATCGCGTCATTTTTTAGATAACATAACTTTATATATAAAATAGAATTGAGATAACATATGTAATTTTATTTATAGAACATCATATACTAAATACGCGTGTCATTGAGTTAAATATAAATTGTTTGCTCAATACTGTAATAAAAATTATCATGTAACAAAATAAGATTAGCACTTTAAATATTCTTTAAAAAAATTTTATTCCTACAGAAAATTATATAGATTTAATCCATTTATTCCTTCAAATAAAAAAGTAATTTAAAAATAATTGGATTTTATTTATTATTAATTAAATTTTTAAATTATTATTAAATTACATATAATTTAAATTTTTTCTATATTACTTTAATTTACTTTAGATTTGCTTCTACAAAAATTAAAGTGAATAAATAGAAAAAAAAAAGAAAAATCCAACAATTTCTAAATTAGTTTCCAATTTCGATAAAATCTCCTAATAATTACTTTATCAAAATATTAATCTGATTATTTAAATAACAAGCAAATTTCTCATTCAATACCTATACGTCACGATTTTAATATATAAAAGATAAATTTGTCAAGATTTGGTTTCATCATTCATCAAATCTATCAAATTTTTCAAAATTCAATAAGAAAAAATTTTCAGAAATAACTTTACAAAATCGGTTTCACTTAATTAACTTAATGCTTGGTCCAATGAAATCTCTATTTTTTTTATAAGAAACATTGTTACTCTGTGGATTGATGGGCTCTTGTAGGAAGCGGCAGGACCGTGTCGCCCACCGTCAGGGATCCTTGACTGAAAATCTGCGTCTCCGTGGACACTCCCCTGGGCGATGTCACGCGATTGTTCCGCATTCTGTTAATCGGCTGTCGTCCCCTGATCATCTTATACCATCCTCTGTGACGTTTTGCGAGGGGGCTCCTTGTGTCCAGTGCAAATGGAACTGGATCTTCCCTCGAGGATACCTCGCGGGACCGTTTGTTACGACGAACTTGGCTGGCATCGCTGGATGGTCCCGGCGTGGCTGTTATTTCCTCGACGATCTCTTGTCGCCGAATTACTTCAGTTGCCTCAATGCTTCTCGGTATTCTCAAGCTTGAAACTGAAAATTCCGACAAAAGGATTAGAATCAGGAGTGCGAAATCTCATATTCTCAATCGTTTATATTGTTAATTCGTGAATGATTAAAAATTTTATTGAAAATGAAACCAACCAGAAAAACTTCTCAAGGCGTGCTTCATAGCTTGGGAGACGGTCGACAGGAACCCACCAGAGTTACTGATGGTCTCGTCGCTCTGTACGGACGAAGAAGAAGGAGACACGAGCTGCCCGCGATTCGTCATCGTCGCCGCGCCGTTCGTGGAGTAGTTCTCGACGCTCTCGACGCTCATCTTCATCGTCGTAATTGATCTTCTGCAGACCTTAGCGGACTCGGCCGCATTCGAAGGTGGCTGACAATTCGCTGACGTGAGTTGCTCCTGCAGCTTCTTCAGACCTGAGCTGATCAGGGGCATCAGATCGGTGGTCAGCCCTCCTACGTCGCTCTCCAACACCACCATCATCACCACCCTCTTGGAGTCCCCGTGAATCACTTGACTCGCAGTTGACGAATCCACGTTGCTCACTTCAGGATTCTCCTTCTTCATATTCTTCGTGTTGTCCCGAATAATCCTGATCTGCGAATTGTTTAAAGAATCCGAGGTACTGGGTACTAAAGAGCGTTTTCTGTCCTCCGCTTTACGGCTGTTATCCATGTTCTTCACATCTGCCACGTTGTTCACGTCTTCCATGCCGCTCACGTCCGCTGCGCTCTTTGCGTCCTTCGTGTCTTCTGCCTTCGTGGCCTTCGCCTTTTGCGCGTTAGACGCATTATGAGCGTCATGAAAATCGTCCTCCTCCGACATGTTGAGAACAGTTCGCACGCAGGGCTCCGTCAGGTTCTTAAGCTCCGCCGCGGTTTTATACTGATCGGAGAACCTCACCTTCTTCACGACGTCCTCGCGGACATCGTCTGTCTTCGGCGAGTCCTGCTGCAGGATGCCGCCCTCGGTCCTCGTCAAGTCCATATCCGTGTGAGAGGACACTTCGATACGAGGACACTTCACGTTCGCAGTTGTTTTCCCGGCATCGTCGTGCGCAATATTATCCTCCTCCTCCGTGATGGTCAGTTTCCTACCGGAATTACTCCTAGGAAATTGCTCGTCCCCGCAGGTCCTGAAGGGTGTCATCTTTTCGTTTGAGCTGGACAGCAGGCAACTGAAGAACTGCGTATCGCTCGTCTTTGAGATTGACGGGATTTGTGCGATTGACTGCGAATTCGTCGAATTGGGCGTTTTGAAGCTGAATTCCGGCACGCAGAGTGTCTCGAAGTCAGCCTTTTGGCCAAGTAGCATCGGCGTGCTGGTCTTCCGATAGATTTCCGGTGGCGTGCAAAATGTACTGCCGTTGCAGTCGCTCTCGCTTACAGAGTACTGCTTCGATTTCTTCCCGAGGTGTTCGTGTCCGGACGGCGACGTCAGACAATGCCAGCGTTCAAACCACTTACATGCAGCTGCAATTTCATTAAAAAATGTAGAATTAACATATTTATTATAAAGAAATATCAAAAATTAAACATAAAAAACTATTTACAGACTGGGAATTTACACGCATATTTAGAGAATGTTATAATAAGTTTTAATTTATTTATATAAGCTTTAAGTCTTAAATTTAAACATTTTAATTTCGATTTGACATATTGTAATTTTCTACTTGCTTTCCATATTCAAGTAACAAAACTTTTAAATAGACTTTAAAAAAAAACAGAGAATTAAATAAAAATAAAACTAAAATAGAGAAGAAAGATATCACGGTCATTTCATTTTAACTTCAGGAAAGCTTGTCTAATCTTTATTATCTAAAGATCACGAGAATGAAATACGAGTTTGTAATAATTTCCTTCTATTCATTTTTATGAGACTCTTGAGTTAAATATTTCGAGGAAACGAATCGCCTCTAACGAAATGTCAAAAATTTTTCTCTAAAATTCTGTATGATATTTCAATTTTCGTCAGTAATTGTGGACTGTCAGATGTTATTATTAACTCGCTTTAAGAATTACCAATAAACTTGAAATCTTCTCTGGATTCAAACAAATCACCGCACAGCCGGCAACGCAACGGCAAGTGGTTGTCCACTATATGAGATAGCAATTTCTCGTCCTCCAAGTTGAGTTTCGTGGACTCGCACTGTCGCAATGGCAATATCTCAGAGGCACATAAGGAACAGTCGGCATTCACGTTGGGGTGCACCTTGTCCACGTGGCGATCGCGACATTTCGCACAGCAAAACGTCTTCTTACAGAATCGACAGACTCCGTTCGCCTGTCCAAAGTGAAAATTCTTTGGAAAGCGATATGCAGCGCTTTTAATAAATACCTTGTCTTTCAGCATATCCAGATGTGATTGCCGAAACGATCGGGTGTTTACTAACCGAACTGCTCAACGACAAACAGTTTATCGGTATGTCCGTGGGATAATAACAATATATAAAGGGAGACACATACATATACGTATATGTATAAAACACAAGAGCAAGGGAAAATCAGAGTCTATATAATTTATGAACGTTTTCAACAGATTATATTTTCTATTTGTATTTATAATTTGACCATTACACACCATCAAGTCCGCACGAGTGTTATCGAAGTGCGCAATGATCTGCTCCGCTGTGCTGGTAATATCCCCTTGTATAGTTGGATAACTCCTTCTAAAGGCGCCATTGCTTGCAAAAAGCAATAAAAAAAAATTCGAAATGAAGCAAATCTCGTTTACAATTAAATATAATAAAAAATTAAACATTTTATTTTTTATTTAAAATTAAAAAATTATATATTTTTTTTGTTCGGACAAATAAAAAACTTTATTAAATTGTGAAAATTAAGGAATCGATCTACATTTTTGATCAATATCTAAAAATAAAACCAGGAATTTAAATTTATTTTTAGAATACAAAATTTCGTATATTTATTTAATAATTAGTGATACAAAGAAAAGAAGGAATAAATTACTTTTTATTGTTAGTTATTATCCGTAATGCCTTCTTTCTTGGAACAAGTTGATTTAAGTTTTCATTACGCATTGATGTCTTTTTTTATCTCCGTTATTCTCATCTTTCGTAGCTTATTATCACAGTCGTTATTCTCGTTTGCAATGCTCGTTTGATTCCAGGTATCAATTGGACTCATCAGCTTTGTATTCATTTATCTCGTCATTTGCCTTGTTTTTTTCTTTACTTTTCTCATCCTATCTATCTCATGCACAGTTTTCGCAGCTGTTTCCACGTTGTTGGAATTATTACCCGAAATCAATTCCCACTTGAGTCCGGATATTGACGACTCATTTTCGTATTCGATCGCCGCTTTGATGTCGGTCTCGCTGCAGTCAGTGCTGTGATTAAAAGTGGAACTGCCTATGTCAGCTCTTCTGCTTTTTATGAACCTCGCTTCCGCGTAAGACGTTGATCTGGAGACTTGCGGATCGAGATAGTCGAATTCCTTACCTCCGTACTGAGAACATTTACGAATAATGATAGAACCGAGGCATAATAAAATTTAAAAAATAGGATGTAAGGAAGAATAGCAAAGGAAATTCTTCTATTTTAATTTAACTATCTGAATTACACAAAATGAAACTATATTATGCGACACACTCACATCTAGCATATAGCTCTTATCGGAATGATTGTGAGATCCTCATATGATAAATGGAATGAAAACCTTGTTCACTCCAATCAGTTGCTCGAAGTTGCACGGCACATCCGTCAACCAAGAATTCAACATATATGGTTCGTAGCCTTTCGGCAGGCTGTAATGCTTACAGACTATAAACACCTCGGTACTGGAATTGCGGGAGCTGCTGCGTGCAGTAGACGTAAGGGAAAAATATTTTCAGTTAAGCGTACAGAAGCGTCACGTCCTCAGCGCGAAACATCTTCGCGACGAATGTTCCACCAGGTTTCAGGATGTGCGTAACTATGTTCGGAGCAGCCATTAGTAACTGCGATTGAATGAATATATCCATATCGTCTAAACCGGTTACTGCAAACAAAATAAAATTTATTGATTAGTCCAGAAAATCAATTGAGATTTTTAGCAAAGCCAAAGGATAATGTAAAACATATACTATCATGTGCTCTATCACACACCACCAAGTCCTTATCGAGGTGCCCAATGATCTGCTCCACTGTGCTGATATCTCCTTGCAGTTGGATAACTCCTTCTAAAGGCGCCATCGCTTGCAAATCAACTGCAACAATTTTTGGTGGACACTGGACCTTTTTCTAAGGCTTTCTTGTAATTCCCACTATAAAATAAAAATATGCAGTTATTTTACATAATAAGTAAAATACTTTTATGCTTTACATAGCACAGATCTCTTAGTTTGGTATTTTATAAAATTCACTTACAACAGCTTGCGAGGTAAGATCCGGCTCCAGGCGCAGCACACAGATCCACTGCTTTGGATACTTCTGAAGGAAAGAGAGAAAATATTTTAATATCAATGTAAAAACTTCTATCTCAACACTTATTATTTAATATATTATTAATTATTAGATCTGAAATTTTTCTCTGTATTAACACTTTACCTTCTTATATATTGCTTTCATATTCTTTTTTCATTGTGCATATCATGCTTTAAATAAGGAAGTTATAAAATATAATTGTTGTAAATGTAACTAAAAAAGTTGTAAAATGTAATTACAAAGAAACAGGTTTATTAACTGCTATTGTACGCAATCAAAAATGCTGTACTCTGTATCAATTTAGAGCAGTTTAAAGGCACTCCGCGCTCGCCATCCTTCTTCCTTCGCCTCTCTGTAATATATTATGTCCCGGCAATCCTGACAGTCCTGGTAGTCCCAGGCGTCCCGGGCGTTTCGCCTGTTCCACTTGTCTTTCGACATCTTTCCTATGGTAATTATTTAGTTTAGCCCTTCTCACTTCCGATTTTGAAATTAGGCTCATTCGACGCGGTTTTGCACAAAACGAAAGAATCTGGCGGAAATAAGCGTCGTTCTGTCCCGCGAACCAAGATATTAATTATTAAAATTAACAAATATTCAGGCTAGAAAATTCATGGATGTAAGGGTAGTATTACACGTTGCGGGGTGATACACAAAGAGTGAGGGGAATTAAGTGTCTAGTGTGGCGGATAAGGGACCAACCAAATCCTTGCGCCGCGCTGATAAATTATTATTCACCGATTCCACCGCCACTAATTTTGAAATTTTCGCTGAACGCCGAAAATTTAATACGGCGCGCCGAAAGAAAGCGAAATTCTATATATGTTCTATAAATGTTTTATATTATACATTGGTATATTACTGTGTCATCTGTATAATTTATTGGAAAATACTCAGGCTGCAATTATTTTTTTCAAGCTATAAATCCTTCGAAAAATTTTATTGACCAACCACAGTCAATTATTCTTCTCATTTTCGACTGTGATTAGTCAATTTCTTAAAGCCTTGCGCCCACGGTACTAGAAATCGATCCAAGTTCTCGGACGAGAACTGTATAGCCAATAAAATTGCTGGTTTTCCGTAAAAACTACAAGTTGATTGATTACACAATTCTCGGTTCGAGAACTTGGATCGATTTCTAGTATCGTGGACACAAGGCTTTACGACTTGAGATTTATTACTTATAGAGTGTATTCGTTTATACAGTCGCTACCGCAGATATATCATTTTATCTTTCTTGTTCATAACAAGAACATTGAACATTGAATAAGAATAAAATGATACATCTGCAGCAGTGATTGCATAAACAAATACACTCCACATGTTTATTAACCGAATTGTTCAATAACAAATTTATCAATACGTCCGTGGGATATTAACAATGTAAAGGGACAAGAACTTACACATATAAAAACAGGAGTATGTTAAAATCAGAGTTAATAATTTATGAACGTTTACAATAAATTCTACTTTCCAATTTGTATTTATAACGTGGCAAATCGATAAAAAACTCAAGACAAAACAAACCTCGTTAATTATTTAAAAATTAAAAACATTTTTGTTTCTACTTTTTCTTAAACTTTGAAAAAAAAAGTTTCTTTTATATATTTTTTACCAAAAATTAAAGTTTACTTTTAGAATATAAAAATTTTTATATATTTAATCATTAATATGATACAAAAGAATAAATTACTTTGCAATGCGTTTAATTAGTTATCCGTATAATTTCTTCCTTGGATACAATTAGTTGATTTAAGTTGATTGGATGTGTGATTTTATGACGCATCGGCATCTTTTTTATCTTCGTTACTCTCATCTCTCGTGATTTTCCTCGCTGTATTCGGCTGATTATCAGGTTCATCAGCCGTAGAGACGACCAACGCTCGTTTGACTTCGGATGTCAATGACTCCTCTTCGTCTTCATTTGCTTCATCGATATTAATCTCGCTGAAATCGGTACTGTTATCGGAAACGGAAGTGTCAAGCTTATATAAGCTTTCTAACCCATCCGTGATTGTTTTCTCATCGCTTTTCTCATTCTTCACAGTTCTCGCGGATGTACTCGGCTCATCGTTGGAGTCATTACTCGCAGAAATCAATTCCGATTTGATTCCGAGGATTGACGACTCATTTTCGTGTTCGATCGCCGCTTTGATGTCGGTCTCGCTGAGATCGGTGCTGTGATCTGAAGTTGAATCGCGTTTCTCAGCCCTTCTCCTACTAATTAACAACGCTTCCGCGTAAGGCGGTGATATGGGAGTTTGCACCGGCTCGTGATACTCGTATTCCTTACCCCCGTACTGAAAACATTTACAAATAATGTATAGTAGAACCAAAGTATAATAAAATTTAAAAAATAGAATATAAAGAATAATGCAAAAGAATAACAAAGGAAACTTCTTCTAGTTTAACAAATAATAAATAATAGAACCAAAGCATAATGAAATTAAGAAAATAGAATATAAAGAATAAGACGCAAAAAAATAACAAAGGAAATTTCTTCTAGTTATCAAATAATAAAGAATCAAAACATAATGAAATTAAGAAAATAAAATATAAAGAATAAGACGCAAAAAAATAGCACAAGAAATTTCTTCTAGTTTAACAAATAATGAATAATAGAACCAAAGTATAATGAAATTTAAAAAATATAATATAAAGAATAAGACGCAAAAGAATAGCAAAGAAAATTTCTTCTAGTTTAACAAATAATGAATAATAGAATCAAAGTATAATGAAATTTAAAAAAAATAGAATATAAAGAGTAAGACGCAAAAGAATAACAAAGGAAATTTCTTCTAGTTTTAACTTAATCATTTGATTTACAGTTAAATGAAAAATATATAATCCTGCATACATTTAACGGATAGCTCATATCGGAATCGGGCTGACTGAGGTCTCCGCATACGATGAACGGAACGACGACTCTGTTCACTCCAGTCAGCTGCTCGAAATTGCACGGCTCGTCCGTCAACCAAGGATTCAGCATATTCGGTTCATAGCCGTCCGGCGGGCTGTAATCCTTACAGACTACAAACGCCTCGATGCTCGAGTTGCGCGAGCTGCTGGGTTTCGTACAGTAGACGTAAGGGAAAAATATTTTCAGTTGAGCGTACAGAAGCGTCACGTCCTTGGCGCGAAAGATCTTCGCGACGAATGTTCCGCCGGGTCTCAGGATGTGAGTAGCTATGTTCAGAGCAGCCAGTAGTAACTGCGATTGAATGAATATATCCATGTCGTGTAAACCGGTCACTGAAAACGAAATAAAATTTATTGATTATTTCTAAAAATCAATTGAGACTTTTAGCTAAAACAGAGGGCGATGTAAAACTAGAGATGTAAAAAAAATGTTTTTTTTTCTAACAAAGAAACATAAGAAAAAGTGTTTTATTTCATTAAAAAAATACAAATTTGATTTTTTTTCTAATTCCGATAGCACGACTAATTAATTGTAAATAGTAATTATATAATTAATTTTAATGTTTACATTTAACTTTTATAAAAGGAGAATCTTTTTAATTCTTTCTAAACAGCTTTTCCTTAAGTAGAATTCATTATAATTATTCATTGAAGTTCTTGCTTCAAAATATGTTTCAGAATCAATATATATTGGCTTTCTCGTTCTGCGTAAGTTAAAATAATGATAATTTAAATCTACTATCTATAAAATAAAAAATCATAAAAAATTAACTTGTATTAAGCAAAATATAGATATTAAATAGATAGCTAAAAAAACAAAATTTTGAGAAAAAACGAGGCTTGTTTTTTTCTTTAAAAGTATTTTATGAAAAAAAACAATTGGTTTTTTTTCTATTTACATCTCTATGTAAAACACATACCATCAGGTGCTCCATCGCACACCACCAAGTCTGCACGGGTGTTATCGAAGTGCGCAATGATCTGCTCCGCCGTGCTGGTATTGGTAATATCCCCTTGCAGTTGGATAACTCCTTCTAAAGGCGCCATCGCTTGCAAATCGACTGCAACGATTTTTGGTGGAGACGCTGGACCTTTTTCTAAGGCCTTCTTGTAGTTCTCACTATAAAACAAAAATACACAGTTATTTTACATAATATGAAAAATACTTTTATGCTTTACATAGCACAGATCTCTTAGTTTGGTATTTCATAAAATTCACTTACGTCAGCTTGCGAGCTAAGACCTGGCTCCAGCTGCCAGGCGCAGCGCACAGATCCACTGCTTTGGATACTCCTGAAGGAAAGAGAGAAAATATATTTTAATGATACAAAAATTCGATCTCATTTAATATTTGTTAATTCCATTTAGATTTATTAGGTCTGAAATTTTTGTCTGTAATATTTTATCTTTTTATAATGCTTTTATATTCCTTTTTCATTGTGCATAATGCATATCATGCATTATCTCATATCCTGCTTTAAATGAATAAATTGTAATAAAATCTTGTAATAAAATGTAATTGAAGGAATCAGATTTATTAACTGCCACTGTACACTCGCTCACTAAAAGGTTGCGACACTTTTTTTTATAGGTTTCTAATTTATATTTAATATACGTAATATATACTTTATAGATAACTAATATTTTGCAAATGCAAACCACGATGTACTATCTTTAGTCTAAAGACAGTTATAACACCAATCGTGGTCCACATTTGCAAAATATTAATGCGTTTTGAAACCTATAAAAAAGATAGTGTCGCAACCTTTTAGTGAGCGAGTGTACGCACCATCAAAAATTTGACACTCCGAATCAATTTGGAGCAGCTTGAAGGCACTCCTGGCTCGCCATCCTTCTTCCTTCGCCTTTCTGTAATATATGTCCCGCTTGTCCTTCGAGGTCTTTCCCATATTTTCTGTCAAAATCAAAACTTCTGTTACACAAAAGTGAGATCTCTTTAAAATAAATTCAAAACGCATTTAAATCTCTTTATATTTTTCTCATTACTTTAACGTGTGTTCTCGAGAATACAACACCTTGTTTTTTTACGCCATGTGCAGAACAGAACGATCAGCTGATTGTTTAAAGGTCAGGAGATGGACAGGATTTTTGATATGCGTTGCCTGTCGGGTTGTCAGGAATATTAGATGGTTGATTGCCTCTGTATTCTGTAATCTCTGTTGCTTGGGGGAGTTTTTGATGTTGCTCCACTGGATGGTGGATTTGTGCCTTTAATCTCTCCTTGAGGTTATATGACACATTGACACCTGTCTTTAATTATCTTGATCAATGAAACTATCTTGCTCTCTTCGATCTTGATGTTTGGATATAATTCTTCCTATCTTCTTAAATTAAATCTCTCTGTTGTTTCCAGTTGTTAGGTTATATTTTTCGCATGCTTAAGCGACTCTAGCGCCTGTTTACCGTGCATGTGTATGTGTGGGGCGAGCGTTTCCATATGTCGCATTATTCGCATCGGCAGAACGTCAGACCATTAATACAACAATATCCATTATTATAACAAGTTACGGATAATTCGTCTCCTTGAATCACTTCAAATAACATTATACATGATATGAAGGGACTTTTTTATGATTTGTTTATTACAAGTTTATAATGTTATTTTACTAATTTAAACGTTAAATTTCTTAATTTCTTTCTCTGCAATTCTCTGTTATATAATATTTTATTTTCCTATTCTTAATATAATATTTTATATTTTAAATTTTATTTAAAAGTTAATATAAAAAATTAAGATATATAATGTATGGGATATTTGGGAATTACTATTTATGCAAAGAACTTTGTCCTAATGAAATATTGTATAATTATTAGTGATACCTTTTGTATCATAAATCATATATTTGTATTATCTATCTGTTTTATTTTAGTAATATACAGATAGTTAAGTAATAGTTATAATAAAATAAATCAAGCAAATCACAGAAGCATGCACAGACATGCATAAGTCGCAGACAAAGGCGACAATGAATGTTACAATATCATTTCCACATAAAAAAATTAATGTTTTGATATATAAACTTAATTATATGGTTACATAAAAATTCAAAGTAATTTATTTTATAATTTTCTTCAAATAAATTCTTAAATATTGTTTTTTTCTATCTAAAAAAGTAATTTTGGCTCTTAAATATCAAATGATGCATTTGAAGATTAACTTGAGATTACGTTGAGTTCTTATTATATATTTTATATTATGTATTTATATGCATTGTTACAGAATGTACAAAACATCATAATTAAAAAAAAAACAAGATTTTCGACTTCCAAAACTTATGGCTACATCTATGAAAATATTTTCCAATACTTATGGCTACATGTATAAAAATCTTTTCTCTGAATTTTTATGCGTTACATCATAGTACAAATTAAATTTGTATTTCATTTGTAAAATATATTTATGTAGGTAGTTTTTTAATCCTGAGGATACACAACGCCCAACTGTCTGCGCAATTCATCCTCCAACTTCGCCAGTAATAAAGATGTGTCGTGCGTTACTTTCGGACTTTCTATCAAACCTGCGGAATTGAATATAAAATATTCAGTATCATCCATGATTTTGTAGAAAAAACTATAAGAAACAATGTCAATGAAACGATGTCAATTTTACTTTCCGCAAGCGAAGCAAAAATCAGCCTTTTTTAACACCCTTCTTTTGCAATATTTCATAATTCACTGGTGAAAAGAGTTCTCATAATATCACACAGTATTTTTAAGAATTTTTATATTTTTAATTTATTAAGATTTCTATATAAAAAATATCTTAAATTTCTTGAGGTTTTAGAAGTTTTCTTTAGAAATTATAACATAACGAATTTTTAAACATTTCAGAATATTCATATTTATAAATTTTAGAAGATCAGATGTTGACTTTCTTAAAATTTCTGAAAAGTGTTTCAATTTGTGTACAGAATTTGAAAAATTTTTATTATTAGAATCAAATTTTTTTATTATTAGAACAACGTTATTATTACAACATATAGGTAAATTAGATGAGACTTCCGAATTAGCATTGATAATTTTACCTTTCAGAATGCAATCACGAGCTTCAGCAGCTTCGTAAGAAAGTCCGGCGGAATTTATGAAGTTGATCTCGTGTTTTAGTTTCGGCAGCGCTACGTTCATCTTGCCGCTCGGCAGCTCCACCTCGGTCGGGCACCAAAAGTTCGGCAGTTTTATCGTACCCTTGGTACCGCAAATGTACGCCTCATTTGGCAGTTTAACCAACGCGCTTGTCATGATGGTCGCGGTGCGATTCCCTTTGTAGGTCAAAGTAGCCGACATGGACATGTCAACGCCGTTCTTGTTCAGAGATCCGCCCGCCTTAATGCTCTCCGGCATCTCGTTGTTATAAACCAGGCAGGCGAATTGCAAACAATAAATGCCGAGATCGAGAATCGTACCGCCGCCCAGTTCTTTCAATCTGTAAATTGATTAATTAATTAACTGCTTCGAGCCTTTTACAATTAGACGTTAAACTAATTAATGAAAATTACGAACGCCATCCGATCTAGGTCGGGAAACTCGAAACCGAAGGAAACGATCACTTGGTGAATATCGCCTAAGTTGCCAGACGCGATTTCCTTTCTGATAATGTCATACACGGGGAAGCAGCGGCTCCACACGGCTTCCATCAGGAACAGATTTTTACTCCGCGCGTAATTAATTAATTCGGTGGTCTGCTTCAAGTTCATCGTCAATGGTTTCTCGCACAAGACGTGCTTGCCGTGTTTCAGCATCAGCATCGCGACATCGAAGTGTTAAGGATGAATCGCACCGATATAAATAATGTCTTGAAACACAACAAACGAAGCATATATATATATACATATATATATAT